CCTGTGGATCTGGAGCCATGACTCTCCCTCCCCCACCTCCACTCACTCAGCATGGCAGAAGTTCCACTCTGTCCAGGTATGGTCACAAAGATGGGGCTCAACTCCCCCAGCTCCATTCCAGGACTATGCTGTTTCCTTGAGAGGAGTAAGCCATAACCTCCATGCAAGCATGACTGAAAGACTGGGGGCTCACTCCCTTTACTCAACACCCACTTTTAGGGCAGAGGCGCTACTCCAGGCATGGCATGCTGAGAATACTGGGGCTTCAGTTGCCCTTGCCCCAGCTCACCAGTAGGGTGGAGATTCCATGCTGGAATAGGAAGGCCGGGAAGGCCAAAGGGTACTTCCCTACCCAGAGCTGGTATGTCCCCCTAGAGAAGCAGGACGCTGACCTTCCCCCAGCTCTGAAGCAGAACATGAGAATTTCAAAAGTAAGTTCCCTGCCTGCTAGCTGGATTAGACTAAAGACCAAAGTGGAAAATGGCTCTTGATCCCTTTGGACTTATAGGTGTACAACAGGAGAGTTTCACAAGTGAGGCAGTCTTCTACTAAACTATTCCTTTACCTCATTAGATGCCAATTCATATATTATTCAGTTCTTTTATCTAGAGATTAAACTGTTCAATGTTGGGTGAATGGTTTTGTAACATCTTTCAACCATTAAAACTATATGTGAAACCCCACAAGAGAAACCAAAAGGTCAAAAATCATTGAATGGTATATATGTCAGAGTTGTGTCTTTCATTATATGCAAATTTTGCCTCAAAAGAAGAAAAAAAAAACAGAACTATGGGCAAATATTGAAGCCTGGTTAATGACATTCATGTGGAAAAGTTTGAGGGTGAAGTGTATTACTTTTTCCTCTTTCTTCAAAGTGTACTAAACATATGGCTTGATGGCTGGCTAGAGGAAGGAACAGACAGACATGTGATGAAATAAACATAGAGAAATGTTAATTGTAGAATCTAGGTGGTAGGAATATAAGTAATCACTGAAGAACTCTTAATTTTTCTGTAAGTTGGCAAATAGTCACAATAAAATGTTTGAAGAAAAGGCATTTTTTCTAGTGATAAAAATACAGACCCTAGGCCATCTGTACTACTAACTAGAAGTTTAATCTCAGGCAAACTGACTTAACCTTTGTATGAACAGTTGTCTCATAAAAAAATGAGGACAGGAACAGTATCAAACACATGCATTCGTAAGGATCACGTAAGTTTGTATTTATAAAAGTTTTAGCATAGAGTATGATACAAAAGTTTATTAAACAAAATTTAAAAATTAATCTCATATTCAGGGTCATGGGTGGGAAAGCAGATTATAATGAATTTTATTGGACACTCAACCCTGAGAATGCAGAATTTTATTATGACTAGATGACAGGTTTACATAGCCCGGGGTATTAGTCATTTATTTCCCCTCTAATCCAGGCACACTTCATCTCTTGCTAAGAGACAGTAGAACCATTGGGATAAATCAATAATATTTAATTCAAATTTTCATTTTCTTCCAAAAGTTCCACTTGCTTAAAGCATGTTCCTTGACTATAGGCTTGGCATATACAAAATATCTGGATATCGATATAAAACCATGTAGCTACCTGGTCACACAAAATAGTCTAGTGATTTAGTGATTTTTAAAAAGAAGGCAGTGAGTAGTGGTCATGTTCTCCAACAAAGGATAGGAAACCTTCAATTACTAATTAATTAAATTACTAATTAATTAATATATCAATTCGTCAGATGTTAGAAGTCTACAAGAAGCCCATGTATCATATGAGCACAGCCTTTTCAGTCTTTTAAAGAACCAGGCCTGCGGACAGCAAATGGCAATTTAAACAACAAACAAAACAAGCTGAAATCAGAGTTCTTACAAACAACAGATTAGTAAGAACAGATGGACTTTATTCATTCTACAACTACTACTGAGCAGCTATGTGCAGACTCTGGTCTAGGCTCTGGGGATTCAGTGGTCAGTAAGATAGAAACCTCTGCTCACAATCTAGAGCCAAAGGCAGACAACAGATGGAAATAAGTTAATGTATGCACGTGTGTGTGCACATGTGTATGTGCGTGTGTGTGTGTAAATAGTATTAAATACTAAAGGAAACAAGCAGGAAAGAGAGCTGGAAGCAAGGAGGTTTGCAATTTTCATTGGATTGTGAGTTTAATCTCACAAAGAAGGTAGCATCTGAGAAAGGACTTGAAAGGAGGGAGGCACAGGCACTGGGAAGTCTGGGAATTGCAAACGTGAAACAAGTGCAGCGTCCCCAGGTGGGAGGATGCAGGGTTGAGGGCGCTAGTGTGGCTGGAATACAGGGAGCACCGGGAAAGAGCAGGAGGTGAGTCAGAGGACCAAGCCACAGGGCCTTGAGGCCATTGAAAGGATTTGAGGTTTTATTCTGACTGAAATGGAAGCCATGGGAAAGATTCGGGCAGAAGAGTGAGATCTCGATGTCATTTCAGCAGGGTTACACAGGCTGCTGTGTTGAGAGAGTCTTGCTGGTGGTAGCGGAGGGGCGGGCGGAGGTGGAGGTGGAGGTGGGGTATGGCCAGATTAACATGTTCATGGATTCTTTAATCATAGTCCCACTGAGAGGTGGGATGATTCCATCCCCCAGAGGTGGTTGGCTTGTTTGGAGCTGCTTCAACCTATAGAGCAGGGTGGACGTGAAGCTGACCTCTGAGGCTAAGTTATAAAGGGCCTGGAGACCTCCACTTTATTTACTAGAAAACCCTCGAGGAGCCCTCCCTGCTGAAGAGGCCACGCGGGGCACACAGTCCACAGTCCGGGCTTGTCCTGTTTCTCACCCATCCCAGCCTGGGTGCCAGACATAAGGGTGAGGAAGCCATCTTGCAGGCAAATCCTCCTGGTTCAGCCATTCAAAGCCAAGACAACTGAGACCCCAGATATCATGGAACAGGGAAGAGCTGTCCCACTGTCCCACTGTTTGTTCTGAATTCCTGCACAGCAGAACCCATGAGCATAACAAAGTGGTAGTTGTTTAATGCCGCTCTGAGCTGGGATGGGTTGTTATGCAGCAATGAGTAACTGGGGCACCAGGAGGAGGAGTGAGGCTCCCGTAACAATCAAGGTGAGAGGTAGTGGTGGCTGAGACCAGAGTTGCTGCTGTGGGGAAGGTGAGGAATGGTCAGATTTGGGAGGTGCCTAAAGGTAGGATCATGGATTGGTGACTCACTGAATGTAGAATGAAAGAGAGACATCATGAGCCATGCCCAGGTTTTTGGTGTGAGCCCCTGGAAGCATAGCATTGTTATTTATTGAGATGGGAAAAACTATAAGGGAAGCAGGTTTGGGACAGAGGGAGGGGGTATCTGGAGGTCCAGTGTTCAACTGCTGATGCCTTTTGATCATCCAAGTGGAAAGATCAAGTAGGCAGTTAGAAATGACATATGTATATATATACATGTGTATATTATATATATAACATATAGTGATGAGTGAGACAAGGTCAGATCATCATGAGAGATATACAGTTAGAAAAGAGAAAGGGTACAAGGACTGACAATAGGTCACTCCATTGTTAAAGGTCAAGGAGATGAGGAAAACCAGGAATAGAAACTGCAGAGGAACGGCTAGTGATATAGCAGGGTCATAACCTGGAAGCCAAGAGAAGGTGCTTTAAGGAGGAGGAGTGATGACTTGTGTCAAGTGCTACTGACAGGCCAAGAGAAATGAGGACTGAGGTGGGCTTTAAGACCGTCACTTACTGAGTGCCTATTATATGCCAGGCGTTGTCCTGAACACTCATCTATAATAGCAGTAGAGGAGGAAGAGAGAGTTGCAGGCTAACTTTAATTGATAATAGCTGCCATTTATTGGGTATCTACTCTACATGTGATAGCTATTGGGAGCCTTACATATGCAATCTCATTTAATCTTCACCTTGCCTTGTGAGGTATATGGATCAGAGATATGAAGCTACCTTCCTGATGCAGCACAGCTAGTAAAGGGCAAAGCTAAAACTCAAACCCAGTTCTAGCCAATGTCAAAACTTGTGGTCTTTTGGCTATCATTTTCCCTTAAGCAGTTCTTTGGGAAATCCTGAGGGGTTCTGGGGTGTGAAAAGCCATCCCGAAAGAAATATTTTTCTATGGAGTTCAAGTTTAACTAAAGGTTTTAAGGGAGGATATAAAAGTAGCTTTATAGTAAAAGAAACATGAATGTATTATAAACTGGAATACAGAATTCTAATACAAATCTTTAAATAAATGAGTAACACATGTGGGCTTATTGTCTGAGTCACTTTGGCTAATGTGTGGGTTTCTCTCCTTGGTACATCAGCTTATGAATTTATCTTCTCTGGAAACGGTGATTTGCTGGTTTTTCTAACTGGGTTGTGAGAGCTGAGATTTTTAACCTGGGGAGCCCAGAAAGTCTGGAAAGACATGGACCCTCTACATGGAAAATTTTGTAACACAGACAGACTCATTTTTCTATGGCAGCGCCTATCAGCTTCTCAAAGGACCTTTGACTTCCAAAAGCTAAGCTTCACATGGCAGAGGAAGAACAGCCAGGGATGGCTTGGAGGTAACAGGGCAATCATGACTTGCATGTGGCCATCCTCCCGGGCAACTTTTGAAGGCCCAGTTGTACCACATCTGGAGAACAATAATGGTGACCAAGCTACACAAATCCATCGTCTAACAAAAGGTTTGTGTGTCACTTCCTATGAGGTTAAACGAATGAAGTTTGAGCAGTAAAACAGTGCAGTTCTTTGACAATTTTGCACCTAATATTTGAAATCAGGGCTAGTCAGGGAAACCTAGTACAAGTGGTCGGTCATAACTGTTCCTTAAACTTGCACACTCCAGGATCATGTATTCATACAACCGTTCAGGGAAATGAAGATGTAAGACATATCTATTGCTTTTAAAAAATATAAAGTCTGAATTAAGAAGGTCCAAATTCCCTGAATCATTCTTTCTAAATGTGTATAAGAAAATAGAACCTTACTTATCATCTCTTGTTTTTCTCACCCTGTTTGCCTGTAGTTCAGAGATGACAGATTTCTGGCTGGAAGCAATGTCTCCTTGAAATCTACACAATTGGAATTTTGAAAGATTAGATGTAAACACCTAAAAATCCCATCCCATCTAGATTTTCAGCTTCTTGTGAAAATTAAAAGATCTGTCAACACGGAGCCTGAGTTCCCTCAGGTGACAATGAGCTTTGTTCAGGTAAACCCATTCTTACCACTTCCTGCTGTCCACACCTGGCCCTGCCAGCCTTCTAAGGCATTTGTAATCTCAGCCTCTGCTGCAATCAAATGATCTTCAATGTGGCAAAACTCTTGAATGGGACAGATGAAGGAGACTGTGGAGAACAATTCTGAATACTTCCTGGAGCTATGCTCATAGTGTTTGTTTGGTTGTTTTCTTCCCCAAATGTTTAATCTAAAGTGTGAATTAGCAAGCCAATGACTGTTTCTAATATGGTGGCAACCATGTCTTCTCACACAAATTTACAAGTTGGTAAATTTTAGAATTCCAGGAAAACTACATTAGTTCAGGCCAAATGAGACAGAGGTGAAAAATTTTAGTAAAATATTCAATTAAGTCTATTTCAAAATAAATTTAGTGGATTCCTTGAGAATAATTAAGTCAATGTCAATCTACCTCTAATAGTGTTTCTGAAGAGAAACAAAGAGCTAAAATTAATTTAAAATTGATATTTACAAATTTACAAGCAGCTAAAATTAATTTCTAATAAGTGATATACTTAAACACAAGTATTCATTTAATGTACAAATTATCTGAAAACACACACAGCTTCTTTGCTATTTCTCCATGGATAACATAAGTTGCCATCCTCCTCAGACTGCATAATCACACAGACTTGACAGCACTCAAATGATCGAACTTTTGCAGTGCTGATACTTGAGTTCATTGTATTTGACTAGACCAGACACTCATCTTAAGCAAACAGGCTTTATGCAAAACACAAAATAGAACAGAAGCATAAAGTACAGGGAAAGGCATCTTCGGAAAACAAACTGTCTCCTCAAAACGTAAACCTCAGCACTGAAAATGGTTATAAGGAGTTTGCAAACTGATTTTCTAGACATTTTTAATGAAATAGAATAGCTATGTGTTCGCTTACTTATTGCTGCTTAACAGACCACCACCATATTTAGAGGAATAATTTGCTTAAGAATCTGTAATGTGGGCGGGGCTCAGTGGGGAAGTCTCAGTTAGAGCAAACAGAGCTCCAGGCTGAAGGACCCATTTCTTAGACAGCTGACTCGCACAGCACACAAGCTGGCGCTGCATCTCAGCTAGGAGCACAGCAAGGACACTTTGTTTCTCTACTTGGGCTTCTCCTGGGCACCTTGGGCTTCCTTCAAACCTGGTGGCTGGGTTCCAAGAGTGAGTGCTCTAAGAGGACTAGGTTTAAACTGCAAGGTTTTAGGTCAAGATCTAGTTTGTTTAAGGTCCCCAAAGCAAAATGAACTAAAACCAGTGACTAAGGACCATGATAGTAAAGACAACTACATCCACATCACAGGAGAGAAAACGGGCCTCTGTCTGTCTGACTAAACTAAAAACAGCAGGGTTTCATCTTTCCAGAAAATATTTTCTAAGCCATAATTGAGGCTCTCAGTGGAGGCCAGTTTCAACTCAGGAATACCTAAATATATCTGAGCCAACAGGCTCTGGATGTCCTTCCAGAAGGAACTGTCAGAAAAGGCAGCAGTTGCCCTGATACTTCCTGCTGATCCTTGGGAAGCTTCAGTGTCCAAAGTTCCTTACAATCTTGTGGGAGCACTTAGTAATGAGCCTTTAGTATCCTGGCTTTTGTCCTTACTTAGGAGTGGCTGCAACCATCTAGCTAAGTGTCTGACTCAGACACTGGAAGGTGGTGGCAAAACGAAGATAAAGGAGAGAGGAGAATGGCTTTGAGAACATCACTACCCAAATGAGAGCCCTCAAGGTCAGAGGAGCTCCAGAGGAGGAGTCGGCCAGTGGCCAGTGTTACGGGCATTTCAAGGGCAAAGGGTGTCTGCAGTGGCAGTGGTCTGATTCAAAGCAGTGATAGAGAGGTGGTGGGTATTAGCATGGTTGTCCTCATGTGAATGATGAGAGTTCAGGACTTTTTCTTCACAGGATACTCTGACTTCCCCTGGTTCTCTGGGCATGGATGAGTGATGGAGCATGGCATGGGTCCCCTGCCCAGCTTCTCAGTTCCACCAGTGAAGCTACCTGTGTGGCTGTGCCGATCTGCTCTTGGAGCAGGCGAGCTGACCCCAGCTGCGTGGAGCCCAGGGCCTGGGCATCATGTGGGAAGTGGAGACTGCCTGTTTACCAGTGGCCAGCAGACCAGCTGCCTCTTTGAACGAGCTGGAAACATTTCTCGGGTTCCTCCTCCTCCTCAGAATGTTCCCATCAAACATTCTGTCCCAGCAGGAGCCAAATTTTTTTTTACAGTATCAAGAGGGGAAACAACTCAAAGACAGGTTCCTGTGTGCAGCCTGTAACAGTAAGCCACCCTTTCTGGAGTGTCTTAGAAAAGAATGCTTGTGATGTCAAGTTTCAAAGAAAGACTGTGGCCCTAAATCAAGCTGGAAGCTATAACAATGCCCCACTTAACACCAAAAAGAAGTCTCTTTTCAAACAGAGAGGCATTCCTCTTGTCCCAGGGGAGATGCCATCCACTCCCCATCCCCCAGGATCTCAGCTGTGTTTACTTTCACTTTCTCTTTCTCTTATGAAGCAGGATGAATTCAGTCTGGTGTGATTTCTTGATGGACCAAAGTTTAGCTGAAGGGTTTTAGCCTTCACAACCATGCTCCCCAAAACACTTGAGAGAAAATAGAAGTCTAGCCAGGATGTGTGCAGCTGAGTGTTTAAGGCTCTCGAGTCTCTGTGTGTCCTTTCTCTCTGAGAGAAGACATTCCCTCTTTAAGCCACGCCCAAACTTTCTGGTAGCCAAGAGTTTGAAATTAGCTTAAGTGGTGAATCAAAACACAAAAAACACTTCCCCAAATGGCTTTTCAGTTAGGAGAGCTTCAAACAGCTTTGCTAAGTAAGACTGAAAAGTTCAGGTCATTGAGAGCAAGGGGGGCCGGGCTCTTACCTGGGCTTCTCTCTCTGTCCTGTTCCCTGTGCTGTTTTCACTGTGATGCCATCACTCTGACTGTGAAGAGTCCCACTGCAAACAGCACCACCTCCAGGATCAGCCATTTGTGTGAAATGATGGATCTGGTAGGTTTTCCTCCAGAGGCTCTTGATAAGCTCTAGTATTTTTTTTTAACATTTTTTTATTGATTTATAATCATTTAACAATGTTGTGTCAAATTTCATTGTAGAGCACAATTTTTCAGTTATACATGAACATATATATAATTCATTGTCACAAATTTTCCTCTGTGAGCTACCATAAGATCTTGTATGTATTTCCCTGTGCTATACAGTATAATCTTGTTCATCAATTCTACATTTTGAAATCCCAGTCTATCCCTTCCCACCCCCCACCCCCTTGGCAACCACAAGTTTGTATTCTATGTCTATGAGTCTATTTCTGTTTTGTATTTATGTTTCTTTTTTTTTTTAGATTCCATATATGAGTGATCTCATATGGTATTTTTCTTTCTCATTCTGGCTTATTTCACTTAGAATGACATTCTCCAGGAACATCCATGTTGCTGCAAGTGGCATTATGTTGTTGGTTTTTATAGCTGAATACTATTCCGTTGTATAAACATACAACTTCTTCTTTATCCAGTCATCTGTCGATGGACATTTAGGCTGTCTCCATGTCTTGGCTATTGTAAATAGTGTTGCTATGAACATTGGGGTGTAGGTGTCTTTTTGAAGTAGGGTTCCTTCTGGATATATGCCCAGGAGTGGGAATCCTGGGTCATAAGTTAAGTCTATTCCTAGTCTTTTGAGGAATCTCCACACTGTTTTCCATAGTGGCTTCACCAAACTGCATTCCCACCAGCAGTGTAGGAGGGTTCCCTTTTCTCCACAGCCTCTCTAGCATTTGTCATTTGTGGACATTTGAATGATGGTCATTCTGACTGGTGTGAGATGAGACCTCATTGTAGTTTTGATTTGCATTTCTCTGATAATTAGTGATACTGAACATTTTTCTATGTGCCTATTGATCATTTGTATGTCTTCCTTGGAGAATTGTTTGTTTAGGTCTTCTGCCCATTTTTGGACTGGGTTGTTTGTTTTTTTCTTATTAAGTCGCATGAGCTGCTTATATATTCTGGAAATCAAGCCTCTGTCGGTTTCATTTGCAAAGATTTTCTCCCATTCCGTAGGTTGTCTTTTTGTTTTACTTATGATTTCCTTTGCAGTGTAGAAGCTTCTAAGTTTCGTTAGGTCCCATTTGTCTGTTCTTGATTTTATTTCTTTTGCTTGGGTAGACTGTTCTAGGAGAACATTTCTGAGATAACGTTTTGCCTATATTTTCTTCTAGGAGGTTTATTGTATCTTGTCTTATGTTTAAGTCTTTGATCCATTTTGAGTTTATTTTTGTATATGGTGTAAGGGAGTGTTCTAGCTTCATTGCTTTACATGCTGCTGTCCAGTTTTCCCAACACCATTTGCTGAAGAGACTGTATTTATTCCATTGTATATTCTTGCCTCCTTTGTCGAAGATGAGTTGACCAAAAGTTTGTGGGTCCATTTCTGGGCTCTCTATTCTGTTCCATGGGTCT